ACACAGGTACCCGAGGTCCTGCAGTCACTGCAGCTGGGTAAATGCTTGTCTGCTCTCCTGGACAATGCTGGGGTGGAGGGGTGGGGATGGGACATCACAGTGCCTGCGCTGAGCCCCTCACCAGCACCTGTGTTCTGGGCGCAGCGGTCACTAAGAACTCTCAGCCTGTGGCTCCACCTACCTCTGGCCCCCTCTGAGCCTGAGCTCCCACATTACCCAGCCTTGGGAATGGGGCCAGGTGGAGGCTGCCTTTCAGCTGTGGAAAGGACCTGGGCTTCTCACAGAGCCCTGCTGGATTCACCTTGAGACAATCTGGGAGACGCTAATGGAACGTGCCTCTTTCCTCTCACAAAAATCCAGCTTGCTACTCCTAAAACTCAGATCAGAGCAGATGGAAATCCCTTTCCCCATCTGGGCTTCCTTTCTTTCCTTTTCCCCTCCAGAGACTGCACAGAGAAAGAGAACAATATATTTGAGGCTTCATCAGCTACGGGGCCACGCTTCTATTTTGTTTGGTTTCTCCAGCTCCTCTCACCTATAGTTCCGATGGGGAAGCACATTAGACTGAGGAGTTTTCATTTTCTAATTTTCTTTTTCTTAAACCTGCTCCTCTCAAAAATGACACAAATAGCATTCAAAGTGTGTCCTCTGACATCTAAAAATAAGAATGTAAATTTTTAGGGTCCTAAGTGCCAGGGGCCAGGTCAGGGCTTGTGCTGCTCTGAATTAGTCCACAGGGCAGGTGGTGACTCTGAAGGACTCCCCTTTAAGTTACCTAAATGTGAGGACAGAACCCACAGTGTCCCCACTCTCTCCAGTGGGTACTTCCTACATTAAACAGTCCTGACGGCACTTCAGTTTGTCATTTGTAGTTCTGACACACTGAAGCAGTGTGTGTGTCTTTAAAGTGCTACCTTTTTGAAAAAACAAGGGTAAATGTTTATCATTTACTTATAAAACCAGCCAATGTGCATAGTTACACTTAAAAAAAAAACCTAGATTTTCAGAAGCAAAGACTTCTAAATGGCCATATTCTCTTTTTTTCCTGCTGTGGCCTGGATTTCCTTTTCCTGGCTGGCCTGAGTTTCCCTTTCCTGGCTGGGCCTAGGACTGGCTGTCACAGGGGATGTTATGGGGAATGCCCCGTGGGCTCCTGAAAAGGATGCTTGCTCTGCTCTCAGTGTGGGAGCTCTGTATCTCTCTGTGTCTGGGTACCAGCCACAGAGTCTGGACGCCAGTGCAGGCCAGAGCCTTGGCTGCCGGATACTTGAGCCTTGGGTTTGTCAAGAGGGGTAGTAAAGGCTGATTTCATATGTGGATGCAGCCAGGGTCCTGAGTGCCTCCCTTTCTGGGCTTTAAGGAGAGGAGGTCTCCCAGGAGCCACTGGATTTCTCAAGCCAGCTTTTCCCATCACGTTACAGGGGGCTGCCAGTGATCAGGCAGTCCTGGCATCAGTGAGGTTATGCTTAAGGCCTCTGCAAACAGTTCCCAGTCATCTGAGCTTCTGCTCACATCTGCTAAACCCCCTTGGACCTTTTGCTCCTGCAAGACAGCACTGCACTTGGGGGAACATGAATCATGCAGGCCCTCTGTTCCGCAAAGGCTACTTCTCTGTCTTCCATTGTGCCATGTATGGCATTACACAACCCACACACTGCTCTGTTTAGGCCTCACAGCAATATGGAATATTCTCTAAGATTTTTACACATGTATAGCTTTGCGAGTTAATTAGCATTCTCATTCTTGCATTTAAAAAGGCCTCTATTTATCTCATGTGTCATGTTCTTATTTTCTGACCCTCATCCAATTATTAAACGTACACTCTTCCTTTCAGGTGCTTGATTGTTATCACTGAAACTGAGTCTTCATTTAGTGCATACCAGATTGGAGGGAGTCTTTGTGCTTGCTGGCTCCCCAAGAGGTGCTTCTTTTGATCGCTGTGTCCCTGAACCCCACGCTGGGCCCATGGGCCACTGGCTCTACAGCAGCTCCACTGGGCCTGAAGGCCACGGCCAGCTCTGTGCCTGGATTGGGAGACACAGTTGAACCTCATAATATAATTGGCTAGGAAGAAGAAGCGGTAGAGAGAACAGTGGGTAAGGGAACAGTGACTGTCTTAGTTGCTCTCCTCATTGCTGGGACAAAAATATCCAGCACCAAGGTTATAGGAGGAGAGGGTTACATCAACTCACAGTGTGTAGAAGTTTCTGTCCATATTCAGCTGGCTTCCAAGAAAGGCAGCACAGCAAAGGGGCACACGGAGGAGAAACAGTCCATGGCATAGCAGGCTGAAGACAGGAAAGCAGCAGGCAAAGCCTACCCTTCCCTTTTATCCCATCCAAGGGACAAATCATTTGGGTGGAGTGACACCCAGGGTGGGGCTTCTGTTTTCAGTAAATCTATGCAGCCACACCCAGAGCTATGCTAATTCCAATCAGTGGACTCATTTTTACCACAAATCGTTATTCCCAGTATGCCACACTCTAGATCCACCAGTTACAAAAAGACTCACCTATGACCACATGAGGATTTGGGGAACCCAAAATACAAGCTGTAACAGAGACTGTAAAGAATTGGGGGGGGGGGGTCACAGGCTTTGGACCCAACTGCTAAATATTTGAGGAGATTCAAATGCTAATTACCAGAGTTCCATTATTGCCCACTGCATTCATGCAGAGAATGGCCACACCAAATCCCGTAATATGTAGTTATTGTGTGCCCATGAAAAATTCAAGATGCCAATGTTTAAAAATATTTTAAAAGGCTGAAATTTTAGTCTTTGAAAGACTAAGAGACTCAGATTTTAACTTTACTCTGCACATGGATATAAACAGCAACATCATCATCATCATCATCATCATCATCATCACCAACGACAGCAAGAACAGCGCAAGCAGGCAGGCGCTAAAGACCAGTACCCAGCCCTGGCGCCTGGGTTTGAGAGCTCCCGTAACATTAGAATTTTGGTAGTGATTACAATTTTATCCCGATTTTTAAAAACGTCAAATCAAATCTCGAAAGCCCCCAGTGCACTAGCAGCTTCATTTCTGCAAAAACAGGATGGAGGAGCACAGATGAGGCAGAGGTGAGAACCCCAAGGACAGAGTCCTCTAGAAACACCGAAGAAAACCTGGCCACTAGATGGCAGCAGCGCCCCACGATTGTCTTCCCAGGCAACCCAAGCTCTGGGGGTAGATTGCAATATAAACTCAGCCTGCTTAGACGCAGCCCGCCTAGAGCAGCCTTGTCCCAGCCTCCTGGAACACAGGGCAGAGACACGAATCATCGAGCTCCCTCTGTGTGACAGGATCTGGCTGAAGACAATGTCTCATAAATACCACCAAAGGGCAGTGGCTACTGGTTATGGGAATCCGTACTGCCCAGAGATTGGAATCCAGTCTGTTCTGTGGACGCTGGGGGAAGGTGGCAACGGTTTTCTACATTGTTCAGGATAAACCGGACCTTGCAAGTGGAGCCTGGGGTGGCTCAGCATCGTGCATGGGAGTGTCTGGCTGCCTGAGGACCCCTCCACGGCCTCCCATTGGGATCCTAACAGTGCAGAAGTACTCGAGGAGTCGCAGCCCAGGACAGTCAGATTTTGGAAATATGTCCTAATGGCAAAGATCCTTCTTGGTGACACAAGTCATTAGGAGTGGCAGTGCAGAGCAGGATGCTTTCTCTGGGAGAAGTCAGCTCTTTAGCTCCTGAAGGAGATCAATTTTTCCTGATGAGGAGCTCGAAGTGAGCTATTGGAGCACTTAATGGGTGTTTTAAAAAGGCATTTTTGTTCACTTGCTGAGTTACAGATACCATCTGGGGTCTGATTTAAAATCACAGAAGAGTGACCCAGTCCTCCACATGCCAGGTTCAGCCTGAAGAATAGAGACCCTGGTTTACTCTCAGGAATTGCTGATGTTTCTTGAGAAGTTCTGTCTTCCTAGTCTCCCTGCAAGAACAGGGGATGGGGAGATTCCACCTTTGGGCATCATGAGTTATTTCTCGGATGTCTCTGGCTCCTCTATGAGAGCCAGCTTCATGGTGGTGGTGGTCGTGAGGTCCCTTGGTGAGCTCATGCTCTGGGACTAACATCTCAAACCATGGTTCTCCTTCCTTTCTGATCCTCCTTCCACATTACACTCTCCCAAGGAACACAGAGCAGGTGGAGGTCCCGTGGAAGGTGGGATCTCCAACCCCTCTCATCTCCAGGGCACAGAGAAAATGCAGGTATAGGGATGCAGCGAGCCCAGCCCACGGTGGCTCCCACCCACCACCACGAGCCTGGGTGTTGGAGATGCACCAAGCAAGCAGTCACGGGCTGGAGGCTGGGCCTTGCTGGAACTTGTGCTGTCCTCCCTGCTACAGGGGTCCTGTGGTTCCCACCTTCCCATCGCGGGTCACAGCTCTCTGTCTTGGCTGAAGTGTGTCAGGGGCTCCACACCCACACCTGCTGGGTGTGGCCTCTCTCTCTGCTGCCTCTGTGGCTCTGCACAGTGGGGATAGCCTCAGCCTCTTCTCAGGAGCCCTCCTGATCCCCGGCTCCCGTACTGGTACTCGGTTTCCCTGCTTGGGTCAGCAAGCTTGGTGGGCTCCGAACCAAATCATCCCAGGGTCTAATTTCATGAAGATGTGAAGAGCCCCAGTGAGTGAGGAACCAGGACCCTTTCTACCGCCCTGTGCATGGCACCTTGCTATAATGTCCAAAATGTAAAACGCATATATTTATATATATGTACACAGACATATACATATATGTGTGTGTATAGCACACGGATCTCCCCAGGCAGAGTGCCTGCCACCCTTCCTTCCACCTGTGTTCCCTTCCAAAGTTATGCAGGGGGCTTCGCTTTGCTCAGCAACAAGAAAGAGATCAATAGATGGAGGCAGCCAGCCCCTGCCCCTGCAGAGCTCCGGCCTGCCCACCCGAGTTGCTGCATGGTTTCTCCCGCGTGCGCGGCGTGGGCTTCCCCCACCCCGGCGCCCAACAAGTCTCCTTCCTCCAGCCTGCGCGCTGACGAGCCAGCGCAGCGCGGTGCGGGGAGCCCCAGGCCCCGCGGGGCTGTGTCTGGAATTGCACCCTGCCCAGCCTTGGTCCCCTCTCTGTGGGTAGGGATGGTTGAGTCCAGCCGCCACGGCAGCGGCTCCTTGCGCCGCTAGCAGCCCGTCTTCTGCGCTCCCCGCCTTCCCTTCCCTCTACCGCCCGGCTCTCCTCCGCGCCCCTCCCGCGTCTCCCACTCGCGGGCGCGCTCTCCAGCTGCCTCCTCTCGCTCTCCTGGCTGCGCGCGCTCCTCTCCCCGCCTCCCCTCCCGCAGCCTCGCCGCCTTGGTGCCTTCCTGCCTGGCTCGGCCGGCCCCGCCGCCCGATCTCGGCCCGGAGCAGCTCAGCCCCGCAGTGGCTCGGAACCGATGCTAGAAGAGGGACGCGAGCCGGGCGCCCAGAGCTGCAGGAGGCGTCTGATGCGCGGCCGACGGCGTCCGGACCGGGATCGTTCTCCGGCTCGCCTTGCCCTCCGGTGAATCTCGGGCTGCGTCCGTGGCCTCGCCGCGCCTCCTCGGAGAAGCGCCCAGCGTCGTGCGCGTGGAATAGCTGCAGACATGACCGCGCGGAGGAGACGCGAGTCGCCGCTGCTGCTTCTGCTGCCGGCGGCTCTGTGCGCCGGGCTCCTCGCTGCAGCGAAGGGTAAGGCAGCTCGTGGGGTCGGAGGCCCGGTGCGCGGTCGCGAGCGCGGGGCTGGCTGCAGAGGGCAGCGGCCGGCGTTTTCCATCGCGGATGCCGGGGCGCAGCGCCCGAGAAGGAGCCCTGGTGGCCCCCGCCCCGCCCCCGCTCCCCTCGCTGGGCTCCGGGCAAAGCCGCTCTCCCTTGCTTTCTCTCTTCTAAGAGAGAAAGGAGCCAGACCCGACTCGGGCTGAAACTGAGCCGCGGCGGGGCGGCGCTGCCTCGGCCGGGCGCGGGCACGGGGCCGGGGCCTGGGGCAGGTAGTTCCCAGGACTTCATGCCCGGCCCGCGCACCTGGTGGAGCCGGCCTTGCAAGTTCAGGTTTCCCAGGGACTTGGGTACCAACAGGCAGAGCTCCCAGGCCGACCTCCCGCACCCTTACATCGGGTCCAGTGTGCCTCCCCCGCCTCCAGCCTCCCGAAGCGACGCGGAGCCACCCTGCCAGGTCGCCCCCGCCTCGCCCGACTTCGCCTTGCAAGTTGCAGGGAGCGGGCGAGGGGCAAAAGGCAGCCCAGGAGACCTGGCCACGCGTCCACGCCTGAGAGATTCGCTGGGGGCGCAGGATTCGCCGACACCCCCAATCTGGTCTAGGGAGGAGGTCCCTCCAGGTGGTTCCTGGGGTCTGAGGCTCTGTGAACTTGGTTTTCTCCTTGAAATGAGTTGGGTTATGTTTTCAGTAACTACCCCGCAAGCTGCCACCTCTAAGCTCGCCACAGTTTGAGGGGAGGAGGGAGCAAAGAGGGAGAAGAGGACGGAGAGGCTGAAAGGTCTCCCGGGCTGGGCAGTCGCTGCCCTGGTCTCTCGCCCCTACCCCTCTCCACTGCTGCTCCCTGGCAATACCCGGTCGTGGTGCTGTGGGGATACCCGCGTGGAGAGACGTTTGCCTGTGCTCTGTGTGAAAGATGGGCTCAGATTCTATAGGCTTTCTGATGTTCATCTGTTGTTCCCCACAAGAAATGTTCCCTTCCTCTCCAGACTTCTTCTTTCCCCGTTTTCTGGCCGTCCAGCGGTCCAGAATGCAGGGTGCTGGAGGAGAAGGAGAAGGAGGACTCAGTGTGCTGCATGAACTCCAGAGGGGCCTGGCCGAAGCAGCCTGCTGTCCCCGGGTGGGCACGCATGGCTGAGGATAGCTGGCCCTGGCGGCCCTTGCCTGAGTCGCCCTCACCGACCTAGAGCCCGAAGGGTGGGAGTCACCGCCTGAAACAAATATGGTCCCCAGGGCCAGGCTGTGGCACCTTCCCTGACAAGGCCCTCTGCCCACCTGCCTGGCTTGGTCCGCGTGTCTTGCAGCTCCACTGGCCGCGAAGGCGCCTCTGGCTGAGCAGGGCCGGAAGAGTACCGGTCTCCGCTAGCCCTGGACCAGCTGGAAATTGAGGGGCGACGCAGAGAAAGTCGAGGGCAAGGAAGGCTGGGCCGGGGCAGAGGTGTGGGTCTCCAGTCGTTGGGGGGCGCGGGAGAGGGTCAGGGACAGGACCTGGCTTGGCTCAACTGAGCCTTTGCTGAAGAGGAAACACCTGCCACCCACAACTCTGGAAAACTTCCTGCCTTATGCCTATGCTCCGAGACCCTCCAGGCCGGGCCGCTGCCTGCCCAGGCAGGCAATTTGGGCTCCAAGGGAGCGTGCGCTCCGTTATCCGAGTTCCACGCACCCTGAGCTCCTTTACCCCGCAATTACAGGGGTGGCTGCGTGGAAACCGCGGCGGCCTGGCTGTGCTGTTTAATAATCTAAACACGTGTGCGCCGGGCAGATTCCGCCCCCACGCAGGTGGGCTGCTGCGCCAGCTCGGGCCAGCCTGGGGCGCGGTTGTGTCGGGGCTGCTTGTGGACTGGGGCTGCTCCTGGCCACAGGCACAAACTCCCGGGCGTCCCTGACCCCGCAGGGCACCCTAGAGAGGAGCCCTGCCCCTGCGCGCGTGGGATCCCAGATGTAGGCGGTGGCCTCCAAGAAGTGGGGCCCCAAGGTCCCAGGCCCCGCGCAAGGCGCTGGAGCTCAGGGTGTGCGCGCGCACTCGCGCCGAGAGGGGCCCGGACTCTCCGACGCGCCGCTCACTGCGCTATTGTCTGGCCCACGCCACGAGCGCTGTGGTTTCCTTAACCCCCGCAGGGCCGAACCCGCGTTCCCTCTGCGCGCGCGAGGACAGGTGCAAGCCCGAGGCTGGTGACGTCAGCGTGCGAGGCGCCGTGTGTGCCCTAGCAGCTGGGGCAAGGGGGTTCGTTTCCTCCTGCCATGCCGAGGCCAGGTGGCCAAGATCGGGCTTTGCCCTGGCCATCGCCTTTGGGCTCTAGGGCTGGGCCGATAGGTCCGGTCACCAGAGGCGCCTGTGCTCCATGGGACGCTGGGCGGAGGGTGCTGCGCGCACCCAGGTGGCAGCTTGCTCTATGACGGAGGCGGGCGCAGAGTTTCGGAGGCGTGGGGCGTCATTCGTGACCTGTTTGCCGAGGCGAGTCGTGAGAGACTGGAGGTTGCGCGGTTGCGGTCTCCGGAACCCGTTCCCGCGGGTGGCTGGAGGGTGGGCTTTCTTCGGAGGTCCTGGACTCTTCGGAAACATGGAGAGAAACGCGCTGTTGATTTTCTTGTTGATTGTTATGGGCAATGTTAGCATTGAGTTCCCTGGGGTGTGTGTCTCTTTAAAAGCGCCACATTTTCAGAAAACACATAAAAAGGAGGAAGAAAGCACACAGCATTCTCCTCCACTGGGTAGGTGGGATAATTCACTCAGGGAGTGCACCCCCAGACCTGCGCCCCGAATCTGGGCCCATCTCCAGGCTGCCTGGCCAAACAAAGTTTGTTTCTGAACCATGTCTCGCGTGTGCGCGGCGAGGGGAACGCGAGTGCTGCAGGCGCTGCCCGGGGCGATGTGCCCTCCCTAATGCCGGCCGGAGCCCGCACCCGCGCGGCTGGGCGAGAGGGAGGGCTGGGGGCTGTGCTGACTGGAGGCTCCCAGCAGATTGTGAAGCCCAGAGCCAGATTTTCTCAGAAAACAGCGAGGGACAAATTTCCCAACCCTCAGTGCCTCCAGATTTGATACCTTACTAAAACTAAAAGTAGAAAAAAAAAAAAATCCCCTCGGGGGAAGAATGCTGAGACCCTTAATTGTGGGTTCAGTGTCTTCTTAGTGGGGCCACGAGGCTTGTTTGTGTTCTGATGAAGCCAGGAAACTGCTGTGGAGGAGAAGCTGGCGCAGACACCCCCTGCCTAAATCCATCCTGCCTAAAAGGTGGAGAGTTTCAGGACAGCTGTTATCTCTGCATTAAGGATTTCCTTAGCAACCATCCTCTCCCTCTCCCTTCCTTTCCCACTCTCCCTCCCTCTGTCTCCTTCCATCCCTCTGTCCCTCCCTACCTCCTTCTCTTCCTGTCTCTCTCCCTTTTTCCCTTTCTCTCTCCCTGCGTTGTCAAGATGGTTAATGTTATTATTAATTTTAACTCTACACTGTTCAGCGAAAAGCTTCCAAGTGCTTGGATGGCACCAGGGTTTGGGGCCCTAGCTTTGAAGTACAGAGGGGATGTTTCCTCTAACAGCATAGGTTTGGTCAGCTGGGCAGCAGAACTTGGAGGTCTCATCACAAAAGCCTAGGGAATGAAGCTGCAGGAGCCTTCTGTGGTCCACTTCTCCCAAGTCTCAGTCACCTGTGCTCAGGGGGCCTCCAGAGGTGAGGGCTGGCTATTTTTACACTGACTTTCAGCTGCCCAATCATGCTTGATACTGACACTGCCACAGCTGGCCTGCAACCTTCCTCCAGGCAAAAGGACTCCTCCTCCCCCCTGGGGGGGGGGCGGAGGCAGCAATGCTTTCCTAGGCTCCATTTGTCTGAGACAAACCTCAGCATAAGCTTTGAAAATGTCAAGAAAATGGTTCTGCTTCCTTTAAGAAATAGATAAACAAAGGTTCTGTGGCCACTTAGTGTTTATTGCAGAAAATTCAGTAAATCCAGTGTAGACATCGCTAAGCTGTCACAATGCAAATAGCATATTAAATAGTCTGTGTGCTACTGAATTGTAAATGTGCTTCTGCTAGTTTATTTTCTTCCCAGAGCCCATGATGAAAATGCATTCCTACAACTCATGCCTCGCATTTTTGCCCGCTCCTTTTTGGCCTTTTCTATTTCTCCTGGCAAGTTGGCTTCCTTTGGTGAGGTGATTAAACCCTGTGCATTGTACTTGTGCAGAGAAGAGGGTGCAAGTGTGACATCTTTGATTCTGATTAGACCTCCATGGCTGATACAAGACCAGTGATTCAAAGTATTTACATCTTTGAGTTTCAGGGGAGGATTGAAGGCTGTGGAGCCCTAGGCCAAAAGAATAGGGACTTGGCTTTGGAGATGGGGCGTGAGAATGATCACACTAAATCCACCTGGTTCAGTGGTTTGGCCACATAGTGACTAGAGGCAGACACTGGGATCCAGTGGGATGTTGTGGAACTTGAGACAAAGATATTTTGACTATGCAGAATGTAACAGTCCTGAAGGAAATCCATCTTCTGATGTGGCCTTTGCTGCTTCTGCTTTGTGAAGATCTCCAGCTATCATTTCCAAAACAGCCTGTGGGTACCCAGACCAAATAATCACACTTACCTATGTGTGGACAGATGCATAGACAGAAGTTTTCCCTACAATGACTTGAAGATGATCCTAAATGTCTTTAATGGACAGGTCTGTCAAATGGAGTCCCTATTATACCAAAATTGGTAAGTAATGGAATTAATATTCCCTTCCTGTGCAAGCATGGATTATAGGAGCTTTGTGGACATAAAGGATACCTTTTGCCCCCCCCCCCAACAAACCTACCTCTTAGGATGCCCAATAGGGAACAATTCTCCTTTGGAAGTCAGCTGTGGTATTCTTTAAACCATTTATGTCAACCTGGACCCTTAGTATCCTAACAGACATTGCCTGGTCTTTCTTTGCCTCCAGAGGTCTTCAGTGTAACCGAGTGAAAGATTCCATCAGCCTGGAGCCTCCTCT